CGTGTTTCAGCACAGCTAACGTATGCCTGCTGTTGAATAAGAAAATTTTTAAACTTTTCTGGAACTTCCCCATTCAATGCTCCAACACTGGAAGTTTTTAAGAAGGTATTAGACAACTATTTGTCTGAAATGGTATAGGGTTTCCTGCCTAAGTAGAGGTTTGGATTGGAAGATCTCCAAGGTCCCTTTCAACTCTGCTATGCTATTGAAAAACCCAATTATTAAATCCTCACAACACAGAGACAAGTCTGGTTCACAATTCAAAAAGGTTTATTTACAGAAAAATAAAAAGCGTTTGCAAAGGCGGCCTCCAAGTCTCCTCCCAAGTGGATCGAGTACAAGGAGAGCAAAGAATAGCATTCAAACATACATTTTATAGACTCTTCTCGTAAGAAACTATGGCGGATGAAACGCCAGGACGGTCACACCGTGTTCGATATACTTATTTGTTAAATAATAAAAATATATTTTTAAAAATGAAAAAAAAACCACCACAAGTAATTGATTAGAGTTGTAATTAGGAGTAAAATACTACTGAACTCTGAGCTTCTGCCTAACCAAATATGCCTTTGATTCAGCAGCATGTCTCCCACTTCACAACTAAATTAAAACCACATAATTTGGTTTTCAATGGAAACTACTGTAAATTTTAGTCAGCTTAGAAACTGAATTAGTAATTGAGTCAAGAGAACTCATCATCTTTAACTTTGTTCTTTAACTTATTTATTTTAAATACGTATGCCCTGGCGTCAATCTCGATTTTTCTCGCTATTTGGGTACAACCACATCGTGCTTTATCAATGTATAGATGTGTTTTTCGACTTCCCCGGGAAATCGGCTACAAACCGCAAAACAATTTCAAGGCTTTCATTAAGAGCTTAAGTGAACGAAGCTGTTCAGACCCCGTGGTAGGTGGCGAGGACATGGTCTGAAAAAGGAGCACTATGTTGCTATTTTTACTCCCCATCTGCTACTATTGATCATGTCCTGTTAGTGAAAAACAGACGCCGAAGGGGAAAGTACCAAACGAGAGCTCTACAGTTTAGATCTACCGGCTTTCAGAGAAACTATGAGTCCCTTGCATTCCTCATTAAATAAAAGCCATCCCGAGATGCATTGCGTGCGGAAGTGAACGTGAGGTCAGAACGTGTTTCTGGGATATCGGGTCGGTGATGGACACGGCAGGGTTGCTGAAGGGGGCCACCGCCGTGGGATCGCGAGCTCGGCGGAAACTTCTTACGGCGGAAGAAGCGGAACTGTTCGAACTTGTGCAGGCTGCGGGGAGCGGCATTGACCCGGAAGTGTTTAAGTGAGTGATCGGAGGCTGAGGACTTGGAAGGTTGTGGCCATTGCATTATTAGGAACTATAGTGGTATTATTTCACCCACTTTTCTTCCCCTCCAGGAGGAGGTTAGAGGGAAGATAGCAACGGGAGACCTTTTCGTCCAATTAATTTGTAGTTCCTAAAGCATTTAATTTGTGGTGTTCTCGATAGATAACATTCTATCGAATCCTCCTGAAGAGGTGTGTCAACCGGTCACTCTGACCATTTTAAGTTTTGCCTGCAATTATAACCCTGGCCTGTATAATAAAATGCCTTGGAATTCCTATTTCTTAGACTACAATTTAATATATAGTTTGGGGATAATAAAAACTGATGAAGAGTTGTATAGGGCCCAGCCAGTAATATGATGGTGTTATCAGTGAACTGAAGGTGAAGATCAATTAGGTTAACAGAATAACAGAGTTTGAAGGGACTTTGGAAGTCGTTTAGTCCAACCTGTACCATTGCAGACAAATGGTTGTCCAGTCTCTTTATTTTTTAAAATATTTTTTTATTTAAAACAAATACAGCATCCTTCTTTACATGCTATAGAAAGTATCAGTTGGTTACAAAAAGACTT